GGGGGGGGGGGGTTGGGGGTTGTCACCCCTGCATCCTGGTTGGTGGGGGGGTGTTGCAGTGCTGGTGCCAGGACTGCCTGCGGAGCCCAGCTGCTCACGTTGGGGTTAAGTTTGTAAAATACGTCGTTTCCTCTCGCCTCTTCGCACAGGTGACAGCAGCCCACGGGTTGTGCCATTTGCTTGGCTACCAGCACAACACAGAAAGCAGCTGGCAGCAGGTACGGCAGTGCCCTGGAGCTGGGGGAGGTGTGCAGTGTCCAGCCTGTGTAGGGTCATACCTGGGTGGAAAGCATCTCCCTGTCTCACACCCTGTAGCAGGGAACCTGCGGGTATGGCTGGCTGGGTGGGCAGCTCCGCGAGCCCGGGGCTGGTATTGATAATGGTGTCAGCCAGCACTGAGACCCCGCTAGCCCAGCTGTGAAGCACGGTGCCAGTGGTGCTGACTGTCACATCTCTCCTGTGCCCTCTTCCCGCAGATGTACCAGAAAGAGGTGGAGATCCTGGAGGAGCTGAACCGGCTCATGGGCACCAACCTCCGGCCTCTGACCGCGGGCCTCTTCTGAGGGAGGCACCGCGTGGCCGCCGCTTCCCGGCCATGCACCGAGGGGCTGGGCCGCTGCTGGGGCCGCCCCGGATGCGGCACAGCACGGGGATGGTGGTGCAAGGCCTCGGCTGCTTCCTGCTGCTGCTGGGCCTGGCCACACTTGCCTTCCTGCCCCCTGCTGCTGCCCAGCCGCCGCCTGCCGCCCTCCGTGCCGGCCACGCCGCCTCCTCGCTGCCCGCCGCCGCTGCCGCACTGCGCACCAGGTGAGGGGCGGCCCCCCCAGCCGCCACGGGCCTGGAGAGCAGGCCCACCCCGCTGCCCCAGCCCTTCCTGCCTGCCAGGGTCAGACATTGTCACCCCCCCGGGACCCTCCTCTCATCACAGCTTTCTGCATGGTGTCCCGAGGGGAGACGATGGGTCCCCCGCACCAGCAACGTGCCGTGTCTCTGAGCCATCAGAGGTGGGCGTGTAAAGGTCTTCCTTTACTTGCTGGTGTCGTTTGGGTCTTTTCTGGAAGATGCTGCCATTGCAGCTGTCTGGTGGCTTTCCTGCTGTGACCGTGGCTTGGGGGAACCCCACTTGTCTGTCCTGCAGCAGGTGATGTGCACTCATTTCCCCTGTCCTTCTTCAACATGTCCTCCCGCTCTCATATTCGGCTCACAGGAATTAGCCCATGTGATGTGCCAGTGGTTTCATCATTCTCACCACATACCACATCACCCTCAGGAAGTGCAGAACATCTGAGGGGTTCACTCCTTGGCTGCCCACATCCTGCCCCACTGCAGGAAAGGCTTGTCGTATGTCCGCACTCAGAGATTTGCAGTCAATGGCTTGATGTCCAAGTGGAAGCCAGTGACGATTAGTGTTCCTCAGGGATTGGTACTGGTACCAGTGCTGTTTGCTATCTTTGTTGGCAACATGGATAGGGATTTAGTGAACCATCAGCAAGTTTGCTAATGACACCAAACTGTGTGGTGTGGTCCACAACTGGAAGAGAAGGGTTGCCATCCAGAGGGACCTGGACAGGCTTTGAGAGGTGGGCCCATGCGAACCTCATGAAGTTCAACCAGGCCAAGCGCAAGGTCCTGCACGTGGGCCCCAGCAATCCCAGGCACAAATACAGGTTGGGTGGAGAATGGATTGAGAGCAGCCCTGAGGAGAAGAACTTGGGGGTGTTGGTTGACGAGAAGCTCAACATAAGTCAGCAATGCACACTCACAGCCCAGAGAGCCAACTGCATCTTGGGCTGCATCAAAAGAAGCGTGGCCAGCAGCATGAGGGAGGTGATTCTGCTCTGCTCTGCTCTGGTGAGACCCCACCTGGAGTAGTGCATCCAGCTCTGGGGCCCCCAACATAGACGGACACCTGTTGGAGAGGGTCCAGAGGAGGGCCACAAAAATGACCAGAGGGATGGAGCAGCTCTCCTCTGAAGACAGGCTGAGGGAGTTGGGGTTGTTCAGCCTGGAGAAGAGAAGGCTATGGGGAGACCTTATACCAGTCTTCCAGTACTTAAAGGGGGCTTAGGGGAAAAATGGGGAGGAACTCTTTATATATACTTTATATATAGTGATAGGACAAGGGGTAACAGTTTTAAACTGAAAGAGGGTAGATTTGGATTAGCTATTTGGAAGAAATTCTTTACTGTGAGGGTGGTGAGGCACCAGAACGGGTTGCCCAGAGAAATTGAGGATGCCCTGTTCCTAGAGGCGTTCATGGTCAGGGTGGATGGGGCTTTGAGCAGCCTGGTCTAGTGGGAGGTGTCCCTGCCCAGGGCAGGGGGGGTTGGAACTTGATGATATTTAAGGTCCCTTCCAACCCAAACCATTCTATGAATCTATATGCCACCTTGATAATGTCCCGTGAGGAGAACCCCAGGGCTCGCCCAGCCCCTGCAATGTGCACTGCCCTGCCTTCTGCTACTTCATCCCTTTCCAAGTATTATAGACTCATGAAAGAGGAACAGTTTCCATCCCAATAGAGCTGTGCTACATGATTGTGGGGTTAAAAAAAAAAGACACATAGAAGTTTTAAACTCCCCAAAGTAATTATATTCCTTTGTTCTCCCAAGATACCTTTTGTATGATGTAAATCCTCCTGAAGGGTTCAACCTTCGAAGAGATGTCTACATTCGCATTGCTTCCCTTCTAAAGACCTTGCTGAAAAGTGAAAACTGGGTGTTAGTTCTGCCCCCCTGGGGACATCTTTATCACTGGCAGAGCCCTGACATCCTTCAGGTCCGGCTCCCTTGGTCCGAGTTCTTCAATATCCCAAGCCTCAACAGGAACATCCCTGTCATTGAATACGAGCAGTTCCTTGCAGGTAGAGTATGGAATCGTACAATCTACAATTGACTAAACATTTGAAGTGGTTTCTTCACAGGTTTATCCATATATGTGCTTTTATCCTTACACATGAAATAAAAAAAGTTAAAGGCAGTGAGAGGAGGGATGGGAAAGAATTGTGCTGAGTAACAAGCCACTAGGTTTGTCATTCATTTGATGTACCAGTGTCAGCCCCTTGACTTCTGGGACCCCAGAGAAAGACAGTTAATAGCTCTGGTTAAAGCCAATGATACTTCTGCATAGTTTTGCCCCTAGTAACAATGGTGTAAGGAGAAAGAGGCAGCCTGCAGCTCCCTGTCAAAATACAAAGAAGCCACATTTTTCTGAAGGTGGTTGGACAGTAAAAGCTGTACAGTGGGTTCTTCAGTGAATTTACTCTTTCAGCGTCAATGCTGCACATACTCAAAATACTTAACCTCTGCTTTTTGTGTTCAAAACGATATATATAAGAGAAAGGCTTTCCCTAAGAATATGGAAACTGTGAAGATGGTTAATGCCATGTTGAGCTAATCACCAAATGCCAGAATCTGCAGCAGTGTAACAGACTTTTTTAGCAAAGGAAATAAAGGCCACCAGATGTCACAACTTTGCTAAGAACTTTGAGGGTATTATTGTCCCCTGTCTTCCAGGAAAAAAGCATTCAGAAACCCACCCTGAAATTTAGGGGAAGAAGGGCTTGGACTTGTTGTTTTTTTGGAGGCACACTTCCCAGAGCAGCATTGAAAACCTCTGTGTTTCATGGTGTAAATTTACATTTCCATGGCAATTCAGTTCTGTTTGGCACACTAAATCACACATAGCTGGGTGGGAGTAGCAGGCTGTCACAGTCCCTGACCCTTTTAGGTTTTCTGACTCACACAGGACATCCTTTCATTTTTTGTGAAGAAAACAAGAGAGAGAATAGTGCAGCATTAGCATTTCTAGCAGATTTTCAACCTTTATCATGTGGTTTTTCATGCTTACAAATGCTTTGCTTTGCCTTTTGCTCAGAGTCAGGTGGGCCCTTCATTGAACAGATTTATGTCCTCCAAGGCTACGCAGAAGGATGGAAAGAAGGAACATGGGAAGAAAAAATAGATGAAAGGCCTTGCATTGATCAGCTTATGTACTCCAAAGACAAACATGAGTACTACAGGTAACATCTAGCAGTCCTTTTAGTCTTCTTTTTAGTTGTATTCGTTTAGGCATTTACCTGCTCTAATAGAACAGACTTGTGTGGTTATTGTAGTGTTGCCTGAATCTCTAAGTGCTTGGGGTTCACTTTGGTTTTAAAAACCCATCAATAATAAAATGTTATATTGGTACTAGAAGATGTAGTTTTAGAAAGTTGTTCCACACAAAAACAGTATGTAGGAGCTGGGTGGTTTATCTACATTATCATCTTTCTAGAGTGAAGTGTTTATTTGTTTCATTATGTATGCTGTTAATTTAAAATACACACCTGTGAAACAATACTATGTATTGCCTTTCAGGGGCTGGTTCTGGGGTTACGAAGAAACACGGGGCCTAAATGTCTCTTGTTTGTCCGTCCAAGGATCTGCCTCCATTGTGGCTCCCATCCTTTTGAAGAACACTTCAGCACAGTGAGTTGTCTTGTATTACTATTTATTGTCATATTGCGTGCCCACAAACCCATTGCCAGGTGGGAAGAGCAGGGGAACTTGCAGACTATGTCCCACTGTTGTGGTACTTCATTACTGAGTTATTGTAATCCATTAAAATCATTACAAAGGGAATTTACACTCTGAGACACCTCACTGTAAGTTAGGTTAAGTGCTGCAGTGCTAAAACTGAAGAGGAAATAGCCTTGAGTTCCTTCATATTCTCTCAGGTAGCTAAATGTCCTCACCACCCTGTGTTTACCTTTCTTTCCTTGACCCTTCGTTGCTGGGTCAAGAGGGAATGAACAGAGTGGAATCGGTGTTTCGCAAGTCCACATCTTGGATCACAAGATGCAGTGCCTGGTCTCCTGTGACATCCATCCTCAATAGTGTGAGCTGGATTTAGAGAATGCAAGCAGCATGTTTTGTCTTTCTGCTCTGAGATGCCACTAGGATGATCAGAGATCCTATATGAGAGATGGAGCACGCTTACATTATCCCAGTAGCAAATATTTCTGGTCTGCTGTGATCCTGTAACAACTGAAGACATCGTAGCAAAGCAAAAGCTACTGGGGTACAAGGGAGAACAGGAAGAGGAAATAATTACTGTTTATGAATACATCAGGGGAATAAATCCATAGAAGAAACACAAACCATGTAAGCTGAAGTGTGGTTTTGCCAGGAGAGCAAAAACATCAAAAAATTTGGCATCAATATGAATTAATTGAAAATTAAATGAAGGTACCCCTAAGCTGTAATACCTCCGTCTGGGACCAGAGGAAGCAAAGTCCTGCTGTTTTAACAGGAATGTTGTTCTATTTATAGGAGTTACACCGTAATCTTTGCCAGTGACAGCAGAAAACTGGATTAAATAAGCCATAGAGATTTCCATGTTTAGCTCTAAAGTTAACACTTTTCATGGCAACTGTCAAAGGTCTGGCGATGAGGAAGGTCAAGGGAAAAATTAGGAGTGGTGCCCAAGTATTCCTAACATGCAGGTGCCTTGTCCACAAGATGCCATTCCTCTGTCAGACACAAGTAGGAAGAAGTATCAACATAACGGCAATGTAAGAGCAGCTCCAGTGGTTCATGTTAAAGTCGGTCTGGTTTAGTGTGTGAAATCCAAGAGTGGCTAAAATCAGACGTCTGGGGGAAAGTACAAGAACAGGGTAAGTGTGTGTAATGCTCCCCTTGAGTCCTGTCACACCCTTCAGAT